AAAAAAAAAAAAAAAAAAAGCATTGTAACCATTTTAGAAACGATCCAAATTAAGCCAACCAATATACGAAACCTTGTCCTTGGGCAGAGTCTCTGAGACACTGGTCCGTGTAACAGTATTGATTTATGAATTTGACTGGGGTGTGACGGGGTTTCTCTTCTTGCCGGGTGAGGAGGACAAAGCCCCACCCCTTTTGTGCACCTGAAGGTAAGTTGTGCCAATGGGAACCTGGCCCCAGGATTGTAGTTTGGCAATCCTTTGAAAAGGCACTTCTAAATCACAAATTTTTGGGGGGGAAGGAAAAGGAACATTTTAAATTCAAGATTTAAAATACTAAGGAGAACTGTTTGTTGACTGAATGAAGATTTCTATTGTTTTCAGTCTCAAAGTAGCACATACAATTTGGTGTTAAAGGCAGTTTGAGAAATTATTCAGTGAGGGTATCCATATATACACAGTTTTCTAGTTGTAATATTTTTGTTCTTAAAATACAATAAACTCGTGGTTCTTTTTGTCTGATGCAAACGCTGTCGATACACGATTGTGATATTCTCAAACACCTTAGCTGTGACCGCTGGAGGAGTCCCACTACATTATTTACCCACCCGTGCTCTGTCTTCTCTCTCAGGTGATCGACCAAAGAAAAAAACCCGAGCAGCCTTTTTCTGGTTTGGGCGCTGCTCTAGGGGGTGGGGAGGGGTACGATATAGACCTGCTAAATGCAAATCCTGTCGGTTCACAGTATTTTTTTTTTTTTTTAATCCTGCTAACAGGACTCCAACAGCCTATCCGGGGGTCTTTGCTCTTTGAGGGGGAAAGGATTGTCTTCTCGGATTCTGCATTCTATACGTTCAACTCGTGGACGCCAGGCATACCAGTGCCAAGAGTGTCGTGGAGAACTGCCAGCGGGGACTTCAGCCGAGATGATTAATTCGCATTAGTGACCAATTGTACCAGAATGAGTTCTCTCACCTGTCAGAGACTCTACCAGGGGCTTGAGGAATTAAAGGCACCGTTACCTGCTACCCCACCTTGGAGCCATGTTATACAGCCTGTGGCATACACTTTAAAAATGAAATTTTACAAACGAATGTACTACGTTCTACTTCAGAAACGGACCAAGGTGTGGGTCACACAGAGAATTCCGCATGCACTTGATTAACGTTACATGTACATCTACCCATGTTTGAGGATGACACTATCTACGAACACACAAGATCTAATATCTAGCACCTCATCTCCAAGAACACTGGTATTATATGTACAGTTACAGCTTACAATTCGGAGAACTACTACAGAGAGAAATACACCACCGAAACGGAC